AATGGTTTAGGGTTTTCGTGACAGTGAGACATAATTGCTCTTGGCAATACCACCTGCACCAGAAAGGAAACTGGACATTAAAGAAACACGTTATGGAGTTTGCCTCCAATATGGCAAGACTAGCCATTTGGACAAGATACTGCTCTTGTCTGGACTGTTTGACTTTGTGCTGTATAAACTGGACATGCAGGACCCACAGAAAAGTGATTGCTGATTCAAGATGGACATTGCTACAGAGTTCCTGCTTCATGGAAGAGTCTGCCAGACAGTCTGCAGGACACAGAGAAAAGTGACTGACAAACTGCCAATACAGGTGGACAGTTTAAAGTTTCCTGCTTTGCTGGAGTCTTCCAGACACACTATGGCCTGTGGGCTGAAGACAGAAGATTATAGAAGAACTTTGGGTGACTGACCAGGCAGTGAGTTGTCTGTCATTTCTAGAGTTTATATATTATCCTTCTGTGGTCTTTGAAGGAGTTGAAGACAGATGGTTATGATTATAGTTTTCCTTAGTTAAGCTTAAAGATAAGTTACATATAGGACTTCAGACTCACAAATATAGGATAGATGATAGAATAGTTTCTTAAATCTTGCTAAATGTTTATGGGCTAAATATTGTTAACTGTGATTCTTATTTGATAACTATTATGTGATATATTCTGCTATGTTACGGTTAAAACCCTTCTTTTTATTTTAGACAGAAAAGAGGAGATGATGGGAGATTTCATTCTGTATATGTTTCTCATACTAGTTAATAAATAAAGCACTGTTGGCCAATAGGAAAGGAAGATAGGAGGGACTAGGAGACAAGGAGGAAATAGGAAGTAGTAAGGAGGAGCCAGGATGGAGAGTCTGGAGAAAGCAGAATGCCGGCTGACTCCCCGGTAAGAGAAATTCATAGATCAGCAGAAATGGGTTAATAATTAAGACAGAGCTAGCCAATAAGAAACAAGTACCTGGCTAACAGAATTGTATCTAATACAGAGTCTCAGTGTGTTAATTGGGGCAGGTGTGGCGGCGGGAAAAGACCGGGCGGCGGGAGGAAAAAACATACTCCTTACAGCTGTAATCCCAGTGAAGGAGTAGACTGGCAAGCTTTCTTCTTCGTGTTCTTGTGTAGGCTGTAACAAAGGGTGTGGCCCAGATTAAAGGGGGCTCTTCCCACCTCAAAAGAATTGGATTAAATATGGGTCTTACCACTTAAAATTATTTAATTAAGGAAAAAAATATCTCTCACAGGTGTACCCAGCCACAGGTTTTAGTTAACTCCGAATGAGTCAACTTGACAACCAAGAATAACCATTACAATCCACGCCTTGTCAACTTATCACACAGTCATATCTCCTTATATTTTACTTAATTTCTAAATGAAAACAATAATTAGATAGCAGTTACAACTATCCCACATTCAATTGCAAACGTGTCAACCAAGTCACAGCTATGCCTAGTGTGATGTCCTTGTATAACCTCAGACATGTTATAAATTTTAGAATAGGTGGCAATACCCCTTGAGGGACATTCTTTTAGTATCTAAAACTTAAAAATGATAACAACTGATATTGTCTTAATTGATGCTACATTACATGATAAATGGAGGGGAAAAAACACAAATATCTATATAAGCATATTCTTAACAAAATACAACAGAAGCAATCGTGTCAGTTACAATCCTCATTTCTGCAACTGGTCACGTGACCTCGGCTGGCGTTCATGACTGACTGCCTTCCTCTGCTACCCATTGTGCAGTTTCTCCACCCTCGGCCGGCACCGCAGCAGGCTGCGGCGCTCATCGTGGGGACTGGCCCACACCTTCATTCCTGACGCGTCTGCCTTTGTCATCCTGCCTGCGTTAGGCTGTTGTAGTGTCACAGTAGCACCCAGAGACGCCCTAAAGGATCTCCTGCACTCCAGACACAATCCCTCTTCCCTGCACGGCGGAAAGGCGATCCGATTTCCCTGTGGCAGTCTGGATCTATCCCCCTCCTAACCCTGTTATCCCTCTCTTACTTAGCCTGTGGCTTAGGGCATTAGAAGCCCAAAGCGGGCAGGGCAATGCCTCAAACTCCAGTTCAGTGGAATGTTTGTTGAGTCTCCGAGCATGGGCACTCCACCTCTGGAACTGAACCTTCTAGGCCAGCATAACTTAAAGACAGGGAACAGGAAGCAGGAGTCTTCCCAGGGGATAGAACTATTCCCTCCTTGATTCCTTGACCTATGGATGCTGGCTATGAGAGAAACAGCACCGTATATCGGACACTGATTAAAAGTATATTGCATCTTCTGGAGAACCTTGCCCCAGACCTCCATGCTGCTGACGCCTAATTGGAGACATAGCTGTGTCTTTGACAGTCCATTCCATCTTTCTACCAGGCCAGCTGCTCCATTACTGTGTAGAATACCTCGATGGTGGATAGGGCATTCTGTAAGTGCATGGATGGTGACCTTGGCAGAAGCGTCATGTGTTGCAAACGTGGATCCGAAACAGGGATAAATGTCCACTCCAGGAAGGACAAAGCATTTTCCTTTCTACAGAGGAGTGGTCCAGGGTTTTCCACCAAGTCTCCTGCCGGTGCCCCAGGGAATGGTGCCCTATCTGCAGCTCAGTGCTCATCTGTACTCTTGGCTCTCACCAGCAACTGTAGCTAGGTCAGCCTTGGTGAGTGGAAGCCCATGCTGTCACGGCAGGACATGACCTCCGTCTTCATCACCACCGCCACTCTGTCTGTACTCCCATTGGGCAACTAAGGGATGTGTGGGAAAAAAGCCTGACTGCCCCCAGAATGGGTCATCCTGTCAACATGATTGTTGAACTTTGATGCTGCCTTTTGATGAACGCACTCGGAGAGAGCGTGATCAGGCCGCGTGTAATTCTCCCCCAGATGTCTTTCTCTCCAATTGTCCTCTCTTGTTCTTTCCAAGTCCCTTACCATCCAGCTGGTCCATTGGTTACAACCCCACAAATCAATGGGCAACCACACATCTGGCTATTCCCCCGTGTAAGCAAGCTATATGACCATCTGTGCTACCCAAAGTGCTGGCCACTGTCAAGGTTGCCCTCCACTGGTTTCTTTCAGGGTTGTCCCAGAAACAGGTTATAATTAATGCCGCAGCTGACCATTTCTGAGTGGTTCCTTCCGGAGCATGCAGAGTCATCAGTAGGTCAGGCCCTAGTATTCTCTTCCTCAGTCAAAAGACGCAATTAAAAGTGGGTCTTTTCAATTTAAATTAAATATTTAAATATATATATTTAAATATTTAAATATATATATATATATATATATATATATATATATATATATATATATCCATCTCAGGTGTACCCAGCTGCTTGGGTTTTAGTTAATTCCAGAAGTACTCAACCAAGAATAGCCATCTCACTATATTCCTGGAAGTCTAGGAAACGGATTATCTCTTGATAACTGGTACAAAGGAAAAATAACCTAGAAATAGTGAAGAAAATATTCCCACACCAACCTGAGTGGAATCACTGAGTGGAATCACTGAGTGGAATCACTGTGGTCCCTAAATTCATTACAATAAAATGTTTGATTTCCCACAGCAGCCCTAACTGTGACATGAACAGCTGTCAACAACAAAATTAGAAGAAAATGCTGTTATGTGGATTTTGCCCACATTTGCTTGTTCTATTTCCACACCATTGCTCAGGAGAATATTTTCAAAAAGTTCTTCCAGTAGAGGTTTTCATTATCCAAAAGGGAGCCCTTCAAATCGGGTGACTTTGGCATGCTGCATATGAAATATACTTGTCCTGTTAGACAACATGGATCTCAAACACTTGCTTATTGAATGCCAAATCCGGTCACACAAAAGAGTCTGGGCCACAATTGGTTTTAATACCGAAACCGTGCTAGGAAGAATCTAGGATCACGCCTGCATGCAGTAGTTGGCTCCTGCTGTTTTGCAGTGGTTATGTTCCGTACGGTCATGAGAACTGGCTTGGCAGATACTGAATCCGAAACCCAGGATTAAATGCGGCTGGTTTGAGTATGGCAACCAAACTGGACACATGTAGGAGTTTGTTTTAGTTTAAGAGGCCTTATTTAAGATCTGCGTACCTGATGAACACTGGACTCAAGAGACAAAATGAAGAGTTGAATGAGGTGTACGTGAAATGTGTGTGAGTGTGATACACCACTTCCTCCCTAGTGTCCCGCACTTTAGACAGCGCGTAATCTCCCTCTGCCTACCTCCGGGGCCCATTTATCCAGCGACATCGTGGAGGAGACACACACAGTGTGAGAACAGGGGATGAGCAGCCCGCGAGAAGGGCTGTTCGCTACAGCAGGACATGGAGACTAGAGCAGAGGGGCCTTCATGCAGGGTTACCTGAGAGCAAGCACACTGTGTCACGTGGCAAATACGAAGTCTGTAGGTAATGAGGTCCGGCTGTGTGCGGGAAAACTGAGCAGGACACGCATATAGCTGGTCGCTCTATATTCATGTTGCAATCTTTCCTTAAATTTAAAAAGCAGAAATTAGAGGTTCTTGGAATTTCATGAAAAAAAGTGTGCAGAGTCCTGTATTGCTTGCTTCAGACTGAGGTTTTGGTTTTTTTTTTTTTTTTTTTTGATTGTGTGTTTTGTTTTTCATTTTTAAAGTTTAAATTAGAATCAATCTTAGCTTTACATATCAATCCCAGTTCCCTGTCCCTCCCATCCTCCCATGCCCCCCACCGACCCCTCTCAACCCACCCCCCCATCCACTCCCCAAGAATAGTGATGCCTTCCATGGGGGGGGGGATCATCAAAGTCTGTCACATCATGTGGAGCAGGGCCCAGGCCCTCCCCCATGTGTCTAGGCTGAGAGAGTATCCCTCCATGGGGAGTGGGCTTCCAAAGTCCATTCCTACCCTAGGGATAAACACTGATCCATTACCAGAGGCCCCACAGACTGCCCAGGCCTCCTCTCCGTCACCCTCATTCGGGCCCCGGCCTGGTTCCCAGAGTTTAATGTCAGCTTGTGTTCACACTCTGCCCTAGGTGTTTCAAGGCTGTGGCCAGCCCAAACCTGCTCCAGCTCTCAGATCCGCCCGCTCAGCTCCAGAAAACTTTAACACGCGTTTCCGGCCCTACAACCCCGAGGAAAGACCTACAACAGCAGCAGGCACGAGCCTGGACCGGCTGGTGAGTAGTCCAAACGATGCCTGTGATGCTCTCTCGGGGTTGGGATTCCCAGAGGTGGCTGTTAAAACCGTCTTATTCCGGTACCTGCTCCCATTCTCAATTACAGTGGTTGACAGGCAAAGATTTTCTTTCTTTTAGATCATGGATTTGATTATTTGGGAATCCTTAAGACTACTTACTAATCCACTAGAGCAGTGACTGAGACTCCAACTTCATATTTCTTCTGAAGTGTTGCTCTGAAAGCCGGGCTGCTGGGTATTCCAGCTGTATAATTACAAAACCACGTTTCTAATCCATGGGCTAAGTTTCTTTTCTTCAAGTGCTTGCTTATATGATTATAACACCCTGTCATTTTCCTATGATCTCTCATACGCTAAGTTTTCTGTTTGGAAAGTTTCTTTCAGGAAGTCCCAAATTAATGTCATTTTGGTTTTTTGTTTTTGTTTTTTTTCCCTAAATGTCTTTTAAAAATAGGGATCTTAGGATCATTTAAATGTGAGTCAAGGTGGCTTTTATGTCACAAAAAAAAAAAATGTATCTGGTGGATGACTACTAAATACATAATAATAAATACAGTTTTAAATGTATTTTAAAAAACAAGTTTGGCATAAAAATTAAGAGCTCCTGATTTCAGAGAAATATGGCCTGATAATTTCCAACTCAATGTTTTCAACTCATAAGTCTATCACCAGTCCGTACACCTGTACTGTTACTGTGCTGAAGGCTGCTTTGCCAATTATCTTGATGTAAAATTAGCAGATAAAACCCCAGGGTCATACAGCATTTGAACCACGTCTGATTGTGTCATATAAACTCAATCTCGAGGACTGTTGGTTGTGAAATACTTTTTATTAGTCACTGTTACGAATGGCTTTATGGTTTTAGTTAATACCCCTTCTACAGTGTAGAACTTGTAAGATTAAATTGATTGTGTTTGGCCTCCGTGTAAGTACATCTCAGCATTTCTTTCCATTAAAAAAAAAATCAAATGAATGTAACAACATGAAGGTCTATCCATTAAGTGTCAAAATGAAAGAGTGTCTGTTCTCATTAACTGCTAAATTATGCTTTGGATCTATTACCTTCACTAGCAAATAAAATCCTTCAGCACAGGTTTTGGAAAAGGAATCATGTGCGCATATTCGAGGTTGCTTCTACCTCTCCCCCCTTGCTCACTCCCATGGTCCTCCTTCACGTTTTCAAGAAAATTTGAAAATCAGTTTTTCTTTTATGCAGCCAACTCTACCAACCGAATGGCTTGGTCAGCTTTTTCCAAGAGTGCTGGTTTTCTTTAGAGTGCGCTGTTAGGGTTCTACTTTACAAAATGCTTTGTGTCTCTCTAGGCAGAAACGTTTGCTGAGTACAGATTTGATCTCGCTTTAGTTAGTATGAACTCAGTCATTAGAGGTCCAGATCTCTGCAAACCCCGGTTTAAAACTGGAATGCAATGTCAGATGAATCTGTTTTAGACATCTCATGTACAAAATTGTGCACACAGAGGACAGTTTTATTTTACACACTCAAAAATCTCTTACAGGAAACTTCCTGTTAAATCTTCTCACCACAACAGGTGAATAAAGATTTTTTTTTTTTTTTTAAAGAACAAGGGCATATAACACACTTAGTTAAACCGCATTAAATTTGGTCACAGTAGTGATATCTATGGCAATCAATGAAATTTTTTTTTCATTTGAAACAGAGAAGCATTCTCTGGGCAAGGAAAATAAATAAGAAAATAAAACAAGGAAAAGCAAACAAACAAAAAACCAAAACCCTACTACTCTACACAGTATTATTGTGGCAAAAGACAAACTAAATCAAATACAGCACTGCCAGTTTCACGACTTTTAGTGTATGACAAATATGGAAGCTGGGATTTGAACCTTAAAATTAAAACACAAACCTTCCCCGAGTAACCTTCAAAATGCACCCACCCCCAGAGGGAGTCCGGAAAAGTATTGACAGCAAACTGATTGAAGACATTCTATTTTATGTCCATCCATCTTTTTCCAACAGTAAATGACAATGGCTAATCGCCTGTCACACGTAAAACCCCAAGGGCAGCCTGTCCGAGAGTGTCGGTATTCACCCCAGGACAGTGCTCTCCATCAGCTGTCCCAGGACAGTGCTCTCCATCATCAGCTGTCACCCATGTCCTCCTGGGTGTGACCTCAGGCTGTGTACATGAGAACTGCAGTTGTGTTCGGGCCTATGCTATGAAGTTCGGATCTCTTTTCAAGTTTGAGAACTAGCCATTTGTAGCAGCCAGCCTCCTTCCAATCGCTCTCCTTTGCTCCTAAGATAAGTTGTTCCCACATCAGAGCATGTTCTACAGAGGCTGTCCTTAAGGCAGACTGCTGGCCCCAAGCTCCCGTCAGAGGCTCCCTTGCAGCCCCTGGCTTCCCCAAGGCATCTTCCCCTTCAAGCACTTGCTTGCCTTCTGAAGAGAACTGAGCAGGCAGGTGTGGCCTTTCATGGACCTGTTCAAGGGGGAAGCCAGGTGAATTCTCCAGAAGGGCCTGTCCTCTGCTACAGCCTGTCCCTGATGTTTATAAACAAGCCTTTCCCTGAAAAGATGGTTTCCTGTATAACTTGTAGGAAGCTTGTGTCCCAGAAAAGGCAGAAATTGAGAAAGACTTCTCAGCTTCAGCAGAGAAAATGTTGTAAAAGCCAACACGCCCAAAGAGCTCGCTCTCCATTCAGCCGTCCTGAAAATAACTTCCTTCTGAAACTCCTGGAGGGTGGCTTCTCGGCATCTTTTAAGTTAGTGCCTGTGGTATTGACTCTGGGACCTGTTGGTAAATGTTCTTATGTCAGTTAGTGTAAAACTGTGTTTTTATGTGAGCTGATAATTAAGGGGTTTGTTTCAGAAAGAGAGGTCTCAAACCCCAAGTCACTGCTAAAACTCACAGAGAGTCGGAGAGAACATGGTATCTTCCAAAAGGCCAGATCCCTTCCTAAGGAGCTTGGAAATTCTCCTGTCACCGGGAAAAGTTTCTGTTTGTTCTTGAAAGTTGTTGTTGGGGGGTGGGGTGCTAAAATGCTGTTGACAGCAGCCAGCAGCCTTCAAACATGTTAACCTCAAGTCATGCTTTGTTTTCCAAAACCAAAAGATTGAATTTGTGCAAATTCAGCTGCTGATAGAGAGCTGGCTTTGGGGGAAGTATCAGAGGCCTCACTGCCCACGGCCACATTGAAGATGCCAAAGCCACCACCTGATGTAGCTAACAGGCTGACCTCCCCATCATACCTCACCCCAGCAACCCTCCTGCCCTCTCAGGCTGCTAAATGTTTCCAGTTAAGTGGGCCAGAGGTCATAGTTTGCACTCTGAAGGGGATTGGTCCTCGCCTCCTGTTCCCAAATTTATCCTCTTGGCATCCTCTGCAATACCTTGATGTAAGACTATGAGTGCAGGAAACCCCCACACACTGGAAACATCAGGCACAACACTAATTCAGCACGAAGCTGATGGAGTTCTCAGGTCTGCACACACAGAGGTGTGGAGCATTTTCCTCCAGAAAGGCAATTAGACGAAGAGCTCAGAAAACTAGAGCACAATGTGCTCGCTCCGGAACACTCGGGCAGGCACTGTCAGTTACTTACAGCAGCGTTTTCATTAGGGCAAATCTGAACTCTAAATTACAGCCCTTAGAGGAATGTGGTTTGTAAAAGTCAACCTTCAGAGAGAGAGAGAGAGAGAAAGACTTGAAAGTTAACTCATCAGGCTGTGAAGATTTAATAAAAACCAACTCCAGTAAGTATACACCTTGTGCTGGTGTCAAGATTTCCTGGTTGTTCTCCGAGTCACTAGGAATGTGTGCAGGGCCGATGGAATGCCAGCCAGCTGATGAATGTACGCTTTATGCCTGTGCTGTGCTATGATATATAAAATAATCTCTTTCTCTTTTTCTCTTGGATTTGCTTTCCTCTTGCTTCCCAGAGGACTGTGTGGAGGAGCATGCAGCATAGTGTAAGCACGTCTCTCATTCTCCTTACCCCCTTTGTCCGGAACATTCCTCAGGAATACCACCGTCCCTATGACCCCAATCCCAACCCTTTTCCTTCATCCGGGATGAATCCATCACTATGCCGGGGCAACTTGCCTCCTAGTGTCCTCTCTGCTTGGTACTTACGGCTCGTAATTGCTCTGGTATTCTTTCCCCTACGGCGAGGTGTCCGATCTAATCTTCACGAAACCACGCCGAATTTGGTGGCTGATTTCCATTCCATTCCAACGTGCAGACTGTTGTCGGAAGAACTAGCCCATCCCAATGGGCTACGTTGGCCTTTTCTTCTTGTGCTGAGATGATAATTACCTCACTAATGATAGAGACAAACTGATAATTACTCCCGTGCACAAGGAACTAATTTTTCCATTAGCAGGGACACAGAGAGTTTAGGGGGTTAAAAATAGTGTATGGCACAAAAAATGTTTTCTCTCTATATATATTACTGTTGATCTTATTTGAACGCACTGGATGTGATGTTTCAGTTTGATGGTGATGGTGCTTGTTTGCTTGCTTGTTTGAGGATTGTGGGAGGGGGTGTTGGGTATTGTTTTACCTGAAGGTGGCCTGTACTGGGCTGAGGACAAGAACTCTAGGTTGCCTTGATGGTTCCCATTAACTAAAACATTATAGAATGTGGTTTTCTCAGTACTTTTTCATGATGGTAACATTCCTTCAGGAGGACCTGAATCCTTAATCCAGGAGTGCAGTACAAACCTGTAATCCCAGTTCAAAGCCAGCCTGGCTACCTAGAGAGTCCAAGGTCAGCCTAGGGCTACGTATCCTGCTGGAAACAAAACAAACTTCATAAAGACCGGTACACCACATGTGTCCTGGGCCAAGGAAAGGAGGTGTTTGTCACTAGAGGGTACACATCTATGGAGTGAGCATTCTCCTGCTATAATGGTGCTCTGCATCCCTCCTCCTGCCTTAACCTAGGCGATGCTACTACTGTGTGAAAGCTTGCCTTCGGAGTTGATTTAGCTCAAAGA